CATTGATGTACAGTTCATAATTCTTGCTTTGTCCAGTTATAAAGTCTAAGAACATAACATTTTATTATATCTTAATTTTCAATTCTTCTAAACAGCACCAATTATACAGGAAACTTAATATTGTGCTCACAGAATACAAATTTGACAAACTTGTTACTAGCCTACAGGCTCAAGACTGTTTTTAGTCACTAGAAAAAGCTAAGGTTTCTTAGTGGAAGCAAAAACTGTAACCTTTTTCATTTTTGTGAGGGAATTTAACTGACAAACATAGTCGGGTAAAGAAGTTGAAATATTTGGCACAGGGGCTACTTAAACATCTCAAAATAGTCTAGCAATAGTCTAAACACAAAACAGAGATGTTTGGGGGGAGGAAGGGAAAAGATATGCATTGGTATCTAATATTTATGAGGTTTAGGGGCCAAACTGATGTCCTTCAGCAAAAGAAACTCTAGCTATAAAAACTGGAGAAATAAAGTTTAGCAAGGTAAGTCAAAATTATAAAAACTTTTGATTTGTGAAGAGAGTAGATAGTAAACTAAAAGCTTCAATTGTATATGCTGTCTCTAGCAGTACTTGTAAAATTAAAGGCAGTAGGAAAAAGTTTTCTGTAATACTTTTTCCTATTCCCTTTAATTTTACAAGCGCTGTGTGCTGCATTTAACATTTCAGTGAATACAGTGTAAGTGCCTGTAGGAGAATGTCATTGGGATAAGGAGTACCTAACTTTATTAGAGTAAGATAATCTGCAACAAGGTGATAACTTCAAGTTGCCGTGACAGATGTTATATGAGATATTTTGCGTACAAGGCTATACATAAGCAGGCCCAGTGTCAGTCAGATGAATAGGTGAGGTAAATGCTAGGTTTAGTCTGCAAGTGCCCAGAATAGTACAGTCTCACCAGGCTTCCATGATGAATCTGTTGGAGCTTTATGTCCAAAAAAAAAAAAAGTTGTAGTACATAGAATGCAGGATGTTTTTCTTCTTCCAAAAAGTGATTAATTGACTGTGGGTGGTGTGTGGGCTACATTTCTTGATGTATTCTATGGTACAGAGGGTTTAATGGGATATATATCAATTTTTCTTCATTGAAAAGAACTTTGTAAAATCAATTCCCAAACTTATCCCATCACTGACTAGGTTTGGTTCCTTGCAATACAGTTATTTACAAGATTGCATTAAAAAATAAAATGATCTGAATTAAAAGATATACACAAGAACCCTAAACTGCATTTTAATTTCACTAGGGAAATCATGCAACTGAATGAGATCCTAGAAGTTCAGTGGGATTGAACCTGTAGTTTCTGAGTTCTAGAAATATTGAAGCCTGATTTCCTGTTTTGCAGTGGAGTGACTGTTGTGTCAGAGGTTATATAAGCTCATATGGGGAGGCATGCGTAAACCAGCTGCCTGGTGTGGATTTTCTGGTGTTTGTTTTATGCTGAAACAGGGAGCTTGTAGGATGTCTTTCTTTTTTCTTTTCACATGCCTTCAGGAAAACATCAGAAACTTAACTCTGAGTATTTGTTTGTACCAATTTAGCAAAAAGTGGCAGCAGGGTGCGATTTCTGGAGCATATAACATGATCACTTCTATTGGAAATGAGGATAGGAAGCGGTATTCAGGTGGGCTGGAGGAAGGTTTTGTAGCTTTTTATAAGGGCTGCTCACCTTTCTGTCATGGCACAAACTGATTGCTGATGTGTGTAGGGGATAAGCAGACACTTTTTTCTGCTGTGGAACCAATTTTTATATTATATCTTTTACAGCAGTTTTGCTGTTGTCTCAGTTCTTGGTGTCCACTGCTTTTGGACATGGAATACTGGAAATAACGTTTGGTCCAATCTATTTACTTAGCATCCCACCGCTGAAGAGGAATGCAGTCAGGGATTATTAGAGTGCTGGAGTCTGTCTTTTGAATTAGGCCAATCTGTACCTGTAAAAGATGCATCCAGCTTTTTCTTCATTCATCACATCTAGTCCCACTCTACTGTGTCACTGAGAGAAGTCTGTGGTACTGGCTAGAGCAAGGCTATACCCACCAAGAGCGAACTGATTTTTTTCATGAGCTTTCTTCTTAAGGGTGTCACTGACCACCTTTCCTCCATTGTGCTGTCAAGTGGCCTCTTCCAGTGGGAGCCTCTGGCCCTTAGATCCTTAACTCAAAAGCCATGTGATGCACTTTGCAGAACATCTGAGTGCACAGCTGCTTTCCATTTAAACTAGCAAGCCATAAATTATACATACATACTGTTCTTTACCCTACATGGCTCGGGCAGTTCTGAGCAAAACTGGTTCTACCATCCAGGGACTTCTTTAGCATAATTATTGCTTGAGTAGACCTATTTACACAGATCTTGCTAATCCGGTGATCTGGCTCAGATGTGACTGTGTGGCCAATGTGCTGACTTCTTGAGTTTGTTCTTACTCCTAGTACTTGTGTTTGAAATTTCTTTCATTCAGCAGGGGAAAAAGCACAACCAATGACGCAAGATTAAATAGGAGAACCATGTTTTACAGGACCCCTCATTTGTGATGCAAAAGCTTGTTACGTTTTTTTTCTGGTAGGCTAAGAAAATACTGAGAGTGTTGGTGAGGTTAAGGATTAGAGCTTCTATTTAAGATGTTCATCTCTATCTTGTCTTTGAAGAGAGGGTTTTTCTCAAGCTTCTGACAGTGTCTGCCACTTTCAGCTGTGTTTTGGTTGCCTTGATAGTAAATGGAAGAACTTTTCAATCTTTCTGTTTAGTGAATTCTTGCTTCGTTTGCAGTTAATGTACCTTATTATCCATTGGGATGGTACTTGTGCAAGAAACACTGTTTCTGGCAATTACATGTGGATGTGTGGCTTTGAGACGCAACATGCCCTGTTCTAGGCCTCACAGTTTAGCCATCACTAGTTGTTAGGACACTGCAGGCTCCTCCTTTAAGGTTTAAGTCGCTTGTCCTTTTTATCATGTTTCCTCCTCTTCCCTTCCCCTCCCTTCCCCCCTCCCCCATTCACAAGTTACTTTGTAAGCTGTCTTGTGGCCTGGACAGGGTAGAGAGATGTGTAGCTAAAATATAAGTGTTAATTTAATTGTTTAAGAAAAGGGAAAGTTTGTTACTTTATGGTACTCTGTAAATGAGCTTATTAAAACATTAATTTCTGGTAGTTTTATGTTCTTTTGACTATTAGTTTAACTTTCAGTTTATTTTTAAGAATAATTGAATAGCCACTGTCTGTGCTTTATAAATTATAGATGCTAAAGTGTAGATCTCAGTAAATTAAATAGGAAGTTTAGGCTTTTTGGAATATTGTCTTATCAAATAACCCTTGTTTCTACAGTTGGGGGAAGGTATAATAATGAGCACACTTTAGTGGGATAATGTGTAAAAAAAAATATTGGCCGATGTAAGGAACCAGCACTACCTATTACAGATTACTACTAGTCTTTTCTCACAGAAGTGTGATTTCTAGTCTCCAGTATCTGTTTCCAGCCAATTAGTATGAGAGATACGAACACTGCAGAGGAGACAGAATCAGCAGTTTTTTTTTTTTTTTTTTAAAGCCTGTGTCATATTTAGAATTTAGATGATCCTTTTTTCCTTTGGTAACCTAGCTTTGTCTAGCTACATCATTCAGCCAAAGATACAGTGTACAACGCTTGGAGTAGATAATCATGTGAGAGCTTGGAGGAGGTAATCATGTGAGACTAAGCATTTAGTATGTTTTTGGCATATTTGAAATATTGGAATTTATAAGTACCATTATATCTACTGTTTTGTATGAAAGTGTATCCAGACCCTTACAAACTAGAAGACTGTATTAATCCTTACAAAAAAAAATATGAATGTTCCCTGCAATAAGTCTGCTGACAAACTCAACCATGGGTAGGCAATTATGGAATAATGCTGAAATCTGCCCCATTTATCAATAATTTCTGAACCCTACTTACCAGCTTTTTTATCTTTTTTTTTTTAACATCCAGAAAATATCCATTCATATATGCATTGAACTTTTAAATTTTAAGCAATTCAGTTCTTCAAAAATAGATTCATTAGCCCTTGTGTTCTCCATGGAAATTATACACAAATGACCTAATACTCTGCCCCTCAGTGGTACAGGAACACATGGTAATTGCTTTTGATAGTCTTTTTCATTTGTTTCTCATGGCAAGTGAATGTAGAAGTAAATTAAGAATTAACCTCCAGCTGGTATCCCTTACCATACTTCAGGAAATGAGCAGTATCGCCAATGCTTTTTTTCACAACAAATGAGTTCTAGTAAGTTGCACAAGTGACGTCATTCTGAGTTTTTCTGGGAAAAATGCCTTCTAGAGATTCTCCAAGTACAACTGACAAGCAAAAGAGAGAGCATTTGTTGACCAATAAGGAATTGAGGTTTGTGTGTGTTTGTTTGTTTGTTCTATTTGTTTTTAACCACTGTGCTGAAGCGTCACATTTGGAAGCCTGTTCCTTTATGGCCTTTTTAGAATGGTTCTTAAGAAAATACTTTGGGTAATTATTTTTCAAAGAATAGCCAGGAGCTCTAAGTGCTGGACCCATGGTTTTATGACGACATGCTGTGGCTACTTGTGCTCCTGAAGTAGTCATTGCAGAGAAAAGTCTGGTTATTGCTATATAAGATGTTGGTCTTGAAAAGAACCCATTTTTGTGTTCTCTGTTGTGGCATTTTACTGTCAAACTTTGTCAGGCTGGCCTTTTTTTGTAGTGATTATATAGTGGGAAACAATGTCTAGCTGTTCAGTAGTGGGGCTTCAAAAGCCCCAGTGCGTTGAATATCTCTTGCTGTGATTTGGTCCAGTTTGATAATGCACGAGAATCAGTGTGAGTGTCATGTGGTGTCAGCAATGTACCTGTTTTCTGTGTTTGCCTTCTTCTTTTATAATTTTTAGCATATGCAGAAAAAGAGCTCCTGATTCTGTAAAAAAGCATGCTGTAAAAGCATATCTGCAAGACATTTGTGTTGTTGGTTTCAGTGTTTCTAGTAACTTGATGTGTGTCTGATGTTTTCTACAGAATGGACAGCAAATTGTGGATGAACCAATGGGAGAAGATGATATCAACCCACAAACTGTGAGTATATGGTGGGCTTAATAAAAATGTGCAGTACTATGTAGTGGTACATTAATGTCATTTAACTTGCAGGCAGGTTGTCTCTTCTGTTGCTTCGATTACATTACAAAATGTAGTGTAGGATCCTGATAGTTCCAAGGAGCACTTTGTCAGCGACTCCTGTCTGCTTTGAGATGCAGAAGAACTTAGATGCTTTCCATAGTGTTTTCAGTATGATGCAGGCTTTTCTACTAACACAAAGCTGAACATAGCAGAAAATAGAATTGATATGGGGGAGTGAGAAGTCTTGATACCAAGATGTGACTGGATCACATTTCTGAAGAGGGAGGGGGTTGAGTTCCTTTTTTCTTACCTTACAAACTTCAAAAATAGGTAGTCCTACCAAACGTTTCTCCTACTGCCAGTGAGTGAAGCACATCTCTTGGTTTCTGCTAGTCTCATTGGTGCGTAGATGAGAATACTTTATATCTGTAAGTCCCAGAGTGCACCTCATTAACAGTTAAGATTTCAGCCGTGGTCATGTCACAACAACTGATTCTCTTGTGGTTAAGTTCCACCCAGATTCCTCCGTACACGCATGTGCTCTTACTGCATGAAATATGTTTCTTTGAGTGACAACTACTGTTACACTTCACGTATCAAAGTAGAAGCGGAAAAGCTATCACCTCTGTTTCTCTGTACTGCCATAGTTACCAGACAGATTTCTTGGCAATGTCTGTCTGTGCTATTTTGTTGTCAACATTAGTCACTTTTTCTTTTCCTTCTTGACCTGTTTAAAAATAGAATATATACATAATTCTTCACTAGCCTGAAAGATTCTTTTCCCTTTCTCCATAAATTGTGGGGATTATACAAAACCAAGATACAAAGTTTTAGGTTCTCTTCCTGGACGTCTCACTGAAAAGTCTCAAATGTGTCACTGCTGTTCTTGAGTGGGTTCCAAAGCAAGTTGACTGAAGCGCAGTAGTTTCTTAAATGTTTCTCTCTGATGTGGATTGCCTTTATGCTTTTGTGATGCTAATTTGCCTAAATTGGAGATGAGATTTTCTGCTTATCAGCTCAGTGGTAGCAAAACTCTGTAGCTGTCGGTATGGAGTTACTTGGAGGTGACAGCTGTAGGTATCAGTTTAGCTGGTTATTTAAGATGCTTCCCCAGCTCAGATAATATGCTAACTGCTGACACATATGAAAGCTTTCAGGGTGGTGGCATAGCTGAAGGCCAATGCTATACTCTTAATGTAGATGTTGAACTTGTGCTGTGGTTCAGTTCTGGCTAGTAAGGAGAGCTGCAAGCCAGTACACTGCGCTTTTTAAAATACATATAGAAGCAGGGCAACCTTTCTGAACCAGAACTTGCAAATAAACACAAAAACACAAAAGTGAGGTGTCTAATAATCTTTTCTTCCTTCCCCATATATACATTAATTCTTACCATCTATTAATTGTAGAAGTCCACACTTTAAGTTCTTCCCCTCTGACAATTTTAAGAGGGAAACTCTTGCCAAATTGAATAGTTTTCTTCAGGGGGAAGAATGAAGGTGGGGAATGGCTGTGAAATTAAGTTCAGAGGCAATCTCAACCCAGGCATCTTGAATCGGGGGAGCTGCTATAGAGAAGTTGATGGACAATAAAACTAGTTGTCAGTCCATATAGGTTCCTTATCTTACTGTCAAATCTGCAGTTTACAAAACTTTGTAAAGCGAAAATGCCAGTAAGTTAGGGTTTCTTTTGGTGATGCCTGTGGCTTTTCATCGGATGTGAAAGCAACCTTCAATGTTTACTTTTTTTTTTTTGGTCAGTATGTGCTGGCTTACTTGCCAGTAAGCAGGCCTTACCAATTTACATATTAAATGAAACTTACACTACTCCACATTTTAAGCACAATATATCAGGTTTCATATGGTTGTATCACACATTCATAGACTGCAGTTTGCATATGGGATGATGAAGTCTGTATGATGATGTTGGATGGCTGATGTAGCCACCCAACAGTTTCTCTTAGCTAAAGCTGTGGACAAAAATGCTGAGTGGAGGTACCTTTACCATGTTATTTTAATAAATGTATCAATAATAGGTGTTCTTAAGCAGAAGAGACTGGCATGAAAATTTGGAGATTGCAAGCCTGCATTATATAAACATTTTAGATTCTTCCTTGCAGAAGCAAGGCTCTGTTGTCTGTGTCAGAGGGTGAAGAAACAATTTGTTTTGGTCTCTGTCATGTAGACTAAAGTGCTTATCTGCAATATTTTTGATTGAACTGGAATATCTTTTTTTTTTTTTTGATTTGCTACTGTTAGCTACATTTCAGTCAACTGAAACATCTGTTAATTTATTTTGACTAGTGTCATCACTTTGTATATGCCTTATTTTGAGTCTGCAGCTTCAGCTTATAGCTATTAGCTTTTTTTGTAGGGTATGTGCATGTGTTTATTTGCTAAAATTATATTCTATTTGATCAAAAGTGAAATTGATGGACTGGAGAGGGAGTTGCATAGCTTTGATTTAAATCCAGTGGCGGCTTCGGTGGAAAGCAAGAGCTATTGTGGGGTATGCCTGTTTCTGAGGAGTCTAAGATGCTGTGTGGTTCCAAGTCCTGCTCTTAAAAGAGAAATCATTCAATGGTTTAATTTTATTACCATTAATATACTGTTTATATCTGGCTTCACAACTTGTTGTCAACAGTTTACATTTGATGTGTCTCATGATCTAGGTACAGCAGGAATCAGGAATAAAACATAAAAAAACAAAGCAACATCTGGCTGAAACTTGACCTAATATGAAAACCTAAGTGAAAATTACTTAGAGGAAGCTATCTAAAGCCTTTCATGTTGCTACCTTTTTCATTCTTGTGCTGATTACCAGTGTTTTGTTTACTTCTGTCTCCATTTTGTTTACTTCTGTCTTCTGGATCTTGTAACTGTGATGCAAGAACTAGTACTTTTGCTAGTAATTAAAGCTAGCCAGAAACTACAGCTGGTCCAGCAAGTAGCTTCACATCTTTACATAGGTAAAGAGCATATCATGCATACCATTTTTGTTCTTTTGTTCTCATACCTGGATTCAGTTCTGCTAAGTCACTCCTGCTGATGCCTTGTCATCATGCTCTACTGGCTTAAGCATGATTAGTGAAGATACAAAAATGCTAAATTCCAAGAATCTATGAAAAGTTGTTATTAGTAATGTTTTGTAAGTTATAGATCATCTTACGTACTTTTTTTCGCTGTTATATTCTTCAGTAATCTGCACTGCCTGCTGATTATTACTTTTGACCCTTCCTTCCCTAGAACAACAAAAAACACTTAACAACAAAAAAAGGCACAAATAACTGGAATGAAAAGTCTCCCTCCCATGGGGAAGACTTTGAGCACCTGACCTTGTTTCTTGTGTGCTGTGTTAAAAGTCAGATTCTGTTTCAAGTTTAAAATGTGTAGAATAAAAGTATATTTGTAATTAAAGAAAGCAAAACCATAAAGCAATTCATTAAAAACTTCTGGTATGATGAAAAAATAGCAGGAGCATGACAGTCACTGAGACTATTTTAAAAATGTAACTTACATAAATTGTAGTTAGTGGGTATTCAAGAGGTAGTAAAAGAAATATAAGGAAGAGATAATAGTTCCAAGAGTTGTTTTTCTTCTCTACCTATTGCAAATAGTTTTATTTCTCAGCTTCTGTTAAAGAAAAAAAAAAAAGAGTGTTTTGTCTTACCTGTTAGTGTCCTAATAGAAAAGTCTCAGGAAAATATCTTGGAAAATGCTTCAAGATAGGTTAGTAAAATAATTTAAGGCATGCAAGCATATAGTTCTTTTGTCTAAGGAAATATCACACTTTGACAGTAAGTAGATATAATGTTGATGTTATATACATGTTGATATAATAAAATTGACCAATATGCATGCTTACATGTTCACACAGATACACTGCGGGTTTTATTAAAGACCTATAAAATTTTGGTCAACCTTAAAAAAATCACAAAATATTGTAATTGGCTATATAATAGTTGACATCTTGGACTGTGAAAAAGTACTGACACCAGAATCACAAATCTTATAGAATATATGGAAAATTAAAGGACAAATATGTGTATATACACACACACTTATGAAGATAAGGCCATGATGATAATCCTGCAAAGCTACATATTTTCAGCTGTTTAATGGATGCATACTGACAATTAAAACTTATTATGCAGACAGTAATACTCAAAGCAGTCTAATCTGGGATCGTCTTGTTTGTTTTACTACCACCTGTAAAAACAGCAAAATCAAGGATACTAAATTGAAGTGCAGTGCTCAAGAAAAAAAAAAGTTTTTAAACTGATAAATGTTTAGATTTGAAAATGAAAGCAAGAGAGGCTTTAGTTGACTGCCAGAATCACAGAATGGTTGAGTTTGGAAGGTATCCCTGGAAATCATCTAGTCCAAACCCTTGCTCAAGCAGGGATACCTGGAGCACATGGCACAGGATCATGTCCAGGCAGGTTTTTGAGTATCTCCAGAGAAGGAAACTCTACAACCTCTCTGGGCAGCCTCGTCCAGTGCTCTGTCACCATCATAGTCAGGAAGCTTTTCCTCAAATTCGGGGAGAACTTTCAGTGCTTCCATTCATGGTCATTGCCTCTTGTGCAAGAGTTTGGCCCTCTCCTCTTGACACCCTCCGTTCAGGTATTTAAATATGCTGACAAGGTCCCCTTTCAGTCTTCTCCAGATTGATCAGGTCCTTTCCTCATAGGATCAGCTTTTTCTTGTAGGATGAGAGATACTCCAGTCCCCTAATCATCTTTATAGCCCTATGCTGGATTGCTCTAGTAGTGCCTTGTCTCTCTTGGATGGGGGAGCCCAGAGCCGGACACAATACTCCAGATGCTGCCTCACCAGGGCTGAGTAGAGAGATGTGAAACACCTCGCTTGACCTGCTGGAAACATTCTTAATGCACCACAGGATGCTATGAGCCTTCCTGCCCACAAGAGCGTATTGCTGGTCTTGTGGTCAACTTGTCC